CTCTCCTCCCTCCTCTCCTCCCCATCCCCTCTCCTCTCTAAGCTGAAGTCATCCACACTGAAACAACCCACAGCAGCTGAGGCCTGAGTCACTCACACTGCTAAAGGAGGCCTGAATCACACACACTGCTAAAGGAGGCCTGAGTCACTCACACTGCTAAATGAGACCTGAGTCACTCACACTGCTAAAGGAGGCCTGAGTCACTCACACTGCTAAAGGAGACCTCGCTGTTTGTTTGAGAACGAGAGTGATAGTGTGTAATTGTGGTTGCAAGTGTGTAGTTGTGTGTGTGTGTGTGTCTTGTGTGTATGTGTTCAGGCTTGAGAGACTAGCTCTTAAAGGAAGCCACTCCAGATGGCCTCTCTCTTAATAATTTACACCAGGATATGTTCTACCTCTCCTCCACCGCTAAAGCTTTGTCTAGCAAGCTTAGCCACACACACAAACGACCCACACCACACACACACACACACACCACACACACAGCCACAGACAACCGACACAAGACAACAGACACAGACACAGACACAACAGCACATAACACACAACACACACAACACACACACACACCCACACACACCACACACACAGACACAACACACACCAGGGACACCACCCAACACCACACATCCCCACACATCAGACACACAGACACCATCACACACACACATCACCCACACACCCACCCCCAAACCCCAAACACACACCCCAAACCCACCAAAAAACCCACCCCAAACCAACCCCCCCCCAACACACACCCCACACCCCCACCCCCAAAAAAAACCCCCAACACACACCCAAAACCCCAACCAACACACACACCCCACACCCCCAAAAAAACCCAAAACCCACACACACAACCCCCACACCCCCTTTTTTTTTTAAAAAAAAAAACAGGGAAAAAAAAAGGGTTCAAAAAATTGAATCTAACGATCCCTTTTAAAATACAAAAAATACCCAAAATTTTTTTTGTTTCTTAAAACAAGTTCTTTATTTTTCCCTTTCACAGCTGATAACATGTGAAAGAAAAGTGTTTTTCTGAAAACTTTTAAGAAAACCCGGTGGTTTTTGTTTTCCCCCAAAGGATCTTCTATATGTGGAGCACTTAACCATTCCCCATTTAAAATTTTTGGTGGCTCCCTTTGAAAAATCATCCTTTTGCTTGTCTTTTCTTTTCTGTCTTTCTTTTTCCTTCTTCTCTTCCCCCTCCCCCCCCCCTCCCCTCTCTTCCTCCCCCCTCTCCCCTCTTTCTCTCTTTTTCCCTTTTCTTCTCCTCTCTCTCCCTTTTCTTTTCTCCTCTTTCCCCCCCCAAAACCCTTTTCCGGGGCCCCCTTTTTTAAAAAACCCCCTTTTTTCTTGTCAACCTTACGTTATCCAAACTTTTTGTGGGCCCCCCTTCAGTCCGCCTTCGGGGCTGAAAAATTTTTGGGAAATTCGCCCCAAAGGACCCTTCCCCCAAATTTCCATATTTCCAGGGGCCCCCATTTGCGTTGGGAATACCCCCGTTCCAAAAATTTTCCCCTTTAAAAAAAAACCCCCAAGTCCACAATTACACCCTTAACAGGGCTTACAAACCTTCCCCCAATAGGGCCTTCACCTTGAACCCGAAAAAATTCTACTCCCCTAACACAGAAAAAAATGTGGGTTCACAACCTTGCCCCCCTTAAACCTTCCCCCCAAAAAAAACCCTTTGGCCCTGGAATCGTTGGGTTAAATTTAATCGGGGGGGTTTTACCCCCGGGTTTGGTTTAAAAAACCCCCCAAGGGTTTCTTGGGCGTTCATTGGTAAAATAAAAAACCTTCTTTTTTGTGTGTTTTTTTTCCCGGGGCCCGGCTTTTAAACCCAAAAATATTTCTGTCCAAATTTTTAAAAACCCCCAGGGGAATGGGTGCCCTTTAAAAACCTTTTTTTCTAAATTTGGGGAAACCCCCTTTTGGGGGCCCACAGACCCCCTATTTTTTTGTTGTTGGGCAAACAAAATAGGGTGGTTTGGGGGGAAAAAGGCCCCCAACAAAGGGGGAAATTTTTTTGAAAGGGGGAACTCTGCTTTCCCCGGGCACGGGGGGTTTTTTGGCCCCACTGAACCCCCCGGGCCCCTTTTTTGAAAGGGGTTTCTAACCCAAAAAACCTCCCCAAAAACCCTTTTGGTTCCCCCCCTTTTTTTTCACACGACCTATCAGAGGGCTGAATACTAACTTGCTTGTGTACATTGTCTTTGTCCCAAATGGAACCCTATTCCCTATATATTGTGCACTACTATTGACCAGGGCCCACTAATGTTGCTGTGCTTGGTTTTGAATATATCCTGCCTAGTGTCTACAAAATATGTCTACTTGCTGACTTGATAAAAGACTCAACTTCAAGGTGCTTCACAACCTTGAACACACAGAAACCTTAACTAGGGCCTTCACAACCTTGAACACACAGAAACCTTAACTAGGGCCTTCACAACCTTGAACACACAGAAACCTTAACTAGGGCCTTCACAACCTTGAACACACAGAAACCTTAGCTAGGGCCTTCACAACCTTGAACACACAGAAACCTTAACTAGGGCCTTCACAACCTTGAACACACAGAAACCTTTGTTAGCCTAGCTGAACTGAACTGCAGTTAAGTTAACTCACAGTACGGTGCAGGGAGGGTTTCACCCTGCGGGTAAAACTGGTTGAAATGACATCAGCTCTACAACTGCTTTGCCTCTGGGCTGTTACAGTAGAGTGCAGTAAAATAAAAGTGCAACGTTGACTAAAAGTTACTGTGTGTGTTTTGTGTGTGTGATTCCTCCAGCTGTCTCTGGCTCTGTCTCAAACTACACCCTATTCTCTATAGTGCACTACTTTTGAACAAGGCCCACAGGGAATAGGGTGCCATTTGGAACTAGGCCTTTATCTAGTTGGGCAGCGACCTCACAGTTCACGTTGCCACATCAGTACACACCCTGATTATGTCTGTCTGTGTGTGTGATCATGACAGAAGCTAGGAGTGTATTGGGGGAGGAGCATCCTGACACAAACACACACACGGCCCGTAGGAGAATGTTTGTGTGTATGAGGTCACACTCTGCTTGGTGGCTTGAAGGCATCGTGTGTGTGTGTGTGTGTGCGCACCTACTAGTAATCTGTCACCCTGGTTGACCCTGTTAGACTCTGATGGATAGATACTCAGACATAAAGACAGCCAATACGCTGTCATCACCTTTTGGAAAATCTACAGGACTGTTTTTTCCTTTCCTTTTTGTGCACAGCAACATGATGCGAGACTTTGTCATCCATTTACATGGATATTCATTTTTGTGAGGCCCATTAAACTATCACCCTAGCCTGGTCCCAGATTTGATATCACTAGCCTGGTCCCAGATCTGATATCACTAGCCTGGTCCCATATCTGATATCACTAGCCTGGTCCCAGATTTGATATCACTAGCCTGGTCCCAGATCTGATATCACTAGCCTGGTCCCAGATCTGATATCACTAGTCTGGTCCCAGATCTGATATCACTAGCCTGGTCCCAGATCTGATATCACTAGCCTGGTCACAGATCTGATATCACTAGCCTGGTCCCAGATCTGATATCACTAGCCTGGTCCCAGATCTGATCTCACTAGACTGGTCCCAGATCTGATATCACTAGCCTGGTCCCAGATCTGATATCACTAGCCTGGTCCCAGATATGATCTCACTAGCCTGGTCCCATATCCGTTTGTGATTTAGCTTACTCCATTGTTCATGGTGAAGCATCATAATGTTCTGCTTGACATAAGGAGTTGGCCAGAGAGCAGAAACAAGGAGATACATGGGAAAGTGTCCCAATAATGACTCCTTTCTCTTGAAGTGTGCACTTGCTCACTTCCCTTCATTGATTTGAAAGAAAATGACTGATCTATGGAAACTCCCACCAGCCCATGCCTACACAATCCAATGGTTTTACATTTGTGGTGAGTAGTGGACGAGAGAGTGAGAGAGTGAGAGAGTGAGAGAGTGAGAGTGAGAGAGAGAGAGAGAGAGAGAGTGAGACTGAGACTGAGACTGAGACTGAGACTGAGAGTGAGAGAGATGGGGAGAGAGAGAGAGAGAGAGAGAGAGAGAGAGAGAGAGAGACCCATTTACGGTGACATTGGAGTAGAAAAATACAATGGCAAAGCAGCTTAAACTGGGTCTCTCATTCTCTCTCTCTTCGTCTCTCTCTCATTCAGTTGTCTTTCTGTCTCTCTTTCTGTGTCTCTGCTTTTCACACACACACACACACACACACACACACACACACACACACACACACACACACACACACACACACACACACACACACACACACACACACACACACACTCTCTCTCTCTTATTGTGGGTATGTTGACATTTTCCCTTTCCACATGTCTGGAGGGCCATGATGGCTGCTACAGCTGCAGTGTGTCAGTCCTCTAGAGTTCAATCTCTCTGCCAACAAACCAAGCAGCACTGTTAGTTAAAGGGGCAATCCGGGATTTAAAAAAAAAAAAAAAAAAAAAAAAAAAAAAAAATGGTTAAATGAATGATATATAGCCATTCTTGAAGAATATAACTTATAAATGTCTCTTGAGCTTAGTTCAACCATCAGAACCCCAAATATAAGCTTGTTTTACTCCATTGTTTGTAAACAAACATTGTAGCCTAAAGCTTCAACACATTCTTAAAACTATAATCACAGGGGTGATCAGTCCATAGCTTTGTCTATGAATTTGAGAGCGGTTCCATTTCTCCTGCCCTGCCCCTCAGCTGTTTACCAAAATAAAGTGTCCATTTTATTTTTGTTTGAATCCCAGATTGTCCCTTTTTATAAGGCATTTATCTGTCTCTGTGAGCCAGAGTGTTTTGTCTGTTTTTGAGCAGACGTTCTGTCTGTGAGTGTGTTCCTTTCAGATAAAATAGCTGTGCTACTACTGGGACCTAAATACTCCGGTGTGTATGTGAGTGTGTGTGTGTGTGTGTGTGTGTGGTGTGTGACGCGTGCTCATTTCAG